GGACTAGATGACCTTTAGAGGTCCCTTCCAACCCAAACTATTCTATTCTATGATTCTAAACGAGTGATGTATCCTTTCTTGGGCTGTGTAGGGATCTTAATGTAGTTTTTTGAGCCACAAAACCAAAAATTTTTGTAGCTTGATCGTTGCCTCTCGTAATGTACTTATTTGCAGAATTTGACGATGCAGCTAATTTGCTTGCGGCAAATCCTGATGCTACCACAATAAGCATCGACGAACCAGTTGAAATCCCCAAGAATCAGCACAGTCGTCTGCAAGAGCCTGGGAGAGAAGAGGATGATGAATTACTGGGGACCGATGACTCCGATAAAACAGAGGTAATACTCTTACACCTACAGTGCCTCCATCGGCATGCATACAAACGGTGCTGACAACACTGAGATATTTCTAGAGGATACCAGGGACTCATGCTGTGTGACTTAAAACTCTGCTTCTTCTCTGTCACAGGTTACTTTCTCAATAGCAGAGTTGGCAGAAGCAAACATGCGTTGGCTCTTCAGCTGTTGTGGTTTGCAGACTAGGAAAATGAACAGAAATGGTGGTGATTTGAGCTAAGAAAATACGCCAGGAGATGAGCGCAGCAGCAGCTGAAAACCCAGCACTGTGTTTGTTTATGTTGGTTCTGCTGTGGGGTTGGTGACTCTGGCAGGAGAGCAGGAAACTTTGAAACGGCCAGGGCTTGTCTGAAGGCTTGGCTAATGCAGCCATCAATGACAGTGAGGGGACTTGTGATGCCGATGAAGGCATGTGTTGTAAAGGATGTGGTGGAAGGTAGTATCTAGCTGCTCTTCAGGGAGATAAGACTAGCTGCTGCTAACAAATGTTAGAGGGGGGAAAGGGAAACCGTTATATAATTAAATAGTAAGCGCCACCCTGTTAAGTTTGTTTTCTGTCCAGGTACAGAAATCTTTTAACTATTGTGTAAATGAACCAGTAATACATAAATTGCATGCTTTTAATGTTTTTCATGTTGCTTTTCTCCCCATACAGCTGCTTGCAGGACAGAAGAAAAGTGCCCCTTTCTGGACATTTGAGTACTACCAGACGTTCTTCGATGTGGACACTTACCAGGTTAATACTACACTCCAGAGGAGAACTATTGTCTGAGCTATGCGTTATCCAGATACTGAGTTTTTTTTCAGTTTTGCATCTTCAGTCAGACAAATCTGTATGTTTTCATAGGTCCTGGACAGAATCAAAGGTTCGGTTTTCCCAGTACCAGGGAAGAACTTTGTAAGGCTGTATATCCGCAGCAATCCTGACCTCTACGGTAGGTACGAGGTGTGACAAGTTCTCTTCTGTGCTAAATGTTTTGAGTTTGTATTCCCTTTTACTTGCTAACCTTAAAAAAACAAGAGGGCAGAGGAGTTGTTACTGAACTTGTTTGTTTCCTTTTAAGGTCCCTTTTGGATATGTGCCACACTTGTCTTTACCATTGCTGTTAGTGGCAATCTCTCTAATTTCTTCATCCATCTGGGCAAGCCAACATACCACTATGTGCCCGAGTTCAGAAAAGGTTTGTAAGTAGTCGATACAGTCCTGAGTTTGGTGGGGGGGGTTTGTTTGTTTTGTTTTGTTTTGTTTTTTTGAAATGCGCTAGTGAAGTAATGTAAAAACAGGTCACAGCTTTGATTTAGCAGAGTCTTTTGATTGATTGCTTTATTTAAATTTTTAGAGATGTGAAACAAGTCCTTAAACTGGGCTGTAACTGGCAGAACCCTACTCCTCCAGAGCATAAAGTAGTTACAGGGTTTTAGTAGAGCAGGCAGGAGTAATTAGAGCAGTTATTTTTCTAGCCTTAGTGAATGCCCCCTTGTACAGAGAGTGCAAGCCCAGCAGTGGCCACTGTGGTGCTTTTGTAGGTGCCTTTCTGGATCCATGGCCTCCTAGGAGCCTGCAGGCCTCAGACAGAAAATGACTGAATTAGAGTATTACTCATAGCACCTACTGAGGGCTGGAAGTTGTTAACCTTCTGGCAAACTGGAAAATAAGCAAAAGATGCTCAACTGATACATGCCCCAGAGAACTCGGAGTGAGGAGCCAATGGTCTGTACTGGTCCTTGTAGTTTGAAGGAGACTGCCGTCCCTGCAGAGGAACGTGGCTTCTGTTTGTTTCCAAAATCCACAGCGTACTTGGAAGAATGCTGCTGTTTGGGA